TGCATTCCCACCAGCAGTGCAGGAGAGTTCCTTTTTCTCCACATCCTCGCCAACATTTGTTGTTGCTAGTTGTTTGAAGATGTGCCATTCTCACTGGGGTGAGGTGGTATCTCATTGTGGTTTTAATTTGCATCTTCCTTATTACGTGATGTTGAACATTTTTTCATATGCTTGTTGGCCATCTGCATTTCCTCTTTGGAGAAGTGTCTTTTTAGCTCTTCTGCCCATCAAAAGATGGGGTTGCAAACTTTTTAAAAAAAATAGTTATTTATTTATGCATACATTTTTGGGCTACAGGCCAGAGGTGGTGGGGGAGGGAAGCAGTGTGTGTGAGAGAAGATTCACCAGGCAGATTGATGAAGTACACTGCTGAAGGGAGCAGCAGGTGGGTCAGGAAAGGTCTGCTATCCCATGTGGGTCACCTGCAGAAGCCAGGGATCAAATTCATTCTGAGGTGACTATGACAGCTTCTTAGTGTGCATTTTAGCCTACTGTACCACCAGGGCGGGCCCTCATCAAAATTTTATCTAGGAATGCTACCCAGTGGAGGTTGTGGTGTTAGAGTTGGACTGTCAGCTTTGAAAGTTAAGAATAAAGTGAAGCTTTTTAACAAGAGACAGAGTGGAAAACTGAGCAGGGAGGGAGGTGATCTGTATCCATTAGAAGATGGTGAGGGAGTGGTAGAGTTGTGTCAAGAAGAACGTCCAGTCATGGACTCAAAGAACCTGTCCTGCCTGGGCTATGCTGACTTCCAAGTCCAGCAGGCCATGGCACGTAGCCATTGGAGCACTGGGGGTTAAGCATGCTCTGAGGTTTTATGTGGAGTATCCTGCCCCAACAGTGTCTGGTGGTTTCTGAGTACGAGTTGTGGACAGTGTGCCAGTTCTGGTTATTACCACGCATGACACCATGTCCCACATCAATCATCCAAAACTGTAGTGTCAACATGTTTCTACCTTATAGGGTGCTGCATATTTATAGGTGCTATCTTATGAATTCTTGGTGTATTTTTGTTTGTTGTCAAAATATGTGTCTCTCTTTGAGCCACTTTGTCTTTATGAGTGTTCATGGTCTGTGAGACATGATTGATGGAAGACTCCATTCTCCAAAGCGGTTGGAGTACATTGTTGGCCAATGCATTGATTTGTTATGCAACACTAGCTAGAGATTGGGCTGTGTAGACTTTGGTCACTTCTAAAACTTGTGTTAGTAGTCTTTTTTCCACAACAAGGGGTGTTAGCATTCTTCAACAGTCAGAACCAACTGTATGTAGGTAGCTGTTTTCAGTCTGCTACCCAGGTCAAATTGTGGTAACTTTATCAGTGGCTGCTTTCCACATACGATCTCCTCCTCATAACTTCTGCAGCTCTGCCATTTCCCCCTCTGCATCTCATGCCTTAAAGAGACAAAGGTAGTGTGGTCTGCCATCTGCAATGGTTCCAAGTACCCCACAGCCAAGATTTTCTTCTTACTTCATTTTCTTCTTTTTCAAGGATCCTGTAAATACTTCTTTATAGACACATTTTGTGTGAATATATGTGTGTGTGTGTGTGTGTGTGTATTTATGTATGTATTAAACAAAAATATTCCTAACAGTTTATTCTTTTTGTGTAAAAAGTTCAGAATTCCCTGGACCAGGGTAGCATGTTGTATCCATGAGGTGATCCAGAACTCCTTTTAACTTTTGGGTCATTATCTTTAGCCCCAAACTTTCATTTTGTAAGATGTTTTAGGGGTCTTTTTAACTACTAGAGTGCCAGCCATCATATCTGTATTTCAGACAAGAAGGAGGGGGAAGATGAGATTGAAAAAGACTTGAATACCTCCTCCGTCCTGACCAGTGAAAATTTACTGGAGAACCAAGTAGATTTGGCCTGTCTTCCTAGAGTCTTAGTTTGTGTGTGGGGAATCCAAGCATTACAAACATCATCACAGCCAAGTATATGATTACTAATTTGGATTAATGCCATGAAAAGAATAATTGGATTGTGTGAGAGAATAGTGGGAAGCCTAATTTAGATGGGAGGGGTTCTTGTTTTTTTATGATCTTTGGGCAGTAGGTACCACTGGGCTGGTATTGTTTAGAGATTAGAATATTAGGTGCAATCACAGACAGCCTTAGTGCTGCTGATTCATGTGTGAGAATAAGTTGTGGTTATTTTTATTTCAAGTCCAACTGAGAGGAAGCATATTGTTCCTAAGCAGTTTGGGAAGAAGGACAGAAAGAAGTCTGCAGTGGTAAGTTTGATGTTTTGGCCAAACTTTTATGACATAACGCTAAGAGTTTTTGTTTTCCTATCAGTTATCTTTCCCCCACTCACTCTCTAATTAAGCAATATCTGTGAAAGAAAGCCTCTCTATAGGAATAATTATCAAACCATTTTTTATTCAGAGATTCTTTCCTTGTCTCCTTCATGGAGGGAGGTGAAGAACACCTTGTAGACATGTTAGAAGGGACCGTTGGGTATTCAGGAAGAGTTTTTTTTTGTCTGTTAAAAACCAGTTCTCGGCCCTCCCTAGTGGCGCAGCGGGTTAAAGCACAGCACTGAGAATCTAAAGCCACTTCTGCATGAGTTCGATTCCCGCCTGCCCCGGAGGTGACCACATGGCGTGGCAGACCTCTCCTGCCCGCCCGCTGCTCCCTTCAGCAGTGTACTTCGTTGATCTGCCTGTTCTGCTCCCCACTCTGTCTCTGGTGAAGCCTCTCACCGCCCCTGAGCCTCTGGCCTTGTACCCCAGTTCTGTATGCACAAATAAATAAATCTTTAAAAAAAAAACCAGTTCCCGGTGTGAGACAGGAATAGAATTTCAGTGGAGCAGGAATTATAATGGCCTGGGCTTTGAATTCTGACTTTGCTCTGGTAGATTCAGGCTTGGGAAGCCAGAGTTGGAAGATTGTTCCACCCACGAGACAGTGCTGTGGCCCAGTTTGTTCATTGCTGAGTCCCCAGCCTTTGCCTCGTGCTTGACAGATAGTGGGACAATGAATGTGTGTTCAATCTGCTCAATAAGTAGATTAATAACCTTTTTTGGAAAATAAAACCTCGACAACTAAGACTCATATGATCTGAATTCAGTGATCCAGGTTGGAGGGTCTGAGGTGGGTGGGGAATGAGGTGAGCCTCAGAGCAGCATTGAAGGCAGGAGTCTGGAAACAGAGTTTCATGTACCGAGGGTGGGAGGGTGGGATATTGCTGGAAAGACCAGCAAGGAGGAGAGTGCTCCAGGGGGTTTTTCTCTTCCAGAGCAGCAAGTCTTCTCTTTCCAGAAAGCAATACTCAAAAATGGACTGGGGGACTCCAAGGATGATGGTGCCTCCCCCCTCCCCAGTACATTTGTTTGAGCAACTCACTTCACATTCCTCACCTCCCTGGAACAAATTTGACATGTTGCCTCAGGATCTATTGAAGGAGTAAGTCTCCTGTAAGCCTGTGTGAGTAACGAGGGGTGAAAAAGTCAACCTGAGCATGGTGGTTTCTTAGACTTACCAACAGGCAGGGATGACAACCATATTCACAGTCATTGTCAAGCCCTTATCTTCACCAGGCCCTGTGCTAAGAACATCACATCTCCGTCAGCCTCCACTAGGAGGTAGATGTTATTATTCTCTTCCTTTCCTGGATGGATGTGGATTAGTGGGAAGCAGAGTAGACATGCCATTTGGGATGAAACAACCATTGAATTTGGTGTTGAAACCTACTGACTGAATTTTGGCGCCTGCTGTAGCGTCAACACTTTCATTCACATAGCTGTAACTAGAGATGTTACCACAGGTGACACTGGTGTTAGCACCGCCTGTTGGACTGGGCTCTTCAGTCCCGAAGGGCGATGTCTTTGAACATGGAGCCCTTTTCACTCTCCTCAGGTACATCTCCAAGCATTGCTGCTGACTGCCTGTCTCTGTCCCTTCCAGCCTTTTGTCAGATAAAGAGAGAACCATTTCTTGTCCAGAGCTGGAGGCACAATTGGCCATGGTGAAAAAGACTCTTCCCTTGGAAAAGAGCCGGCCCGATAGTGCAATTTCTGCTAAGATGTCTCTATCCATACAGCGCCTCACCCTGCAAGTAAGAGCTGGGAGCCTAGGAGTGAGGTGTCTGTCTGCAGGTGTAGACTCTGCGCTCGGGCTGGAAGGGTTGACTTTCTTTCTTCCTGACTTTCTGTCCTTCCACTCTGGACTAGGCCACACAGCTGGGCTCTCTGGAGGTAAAAGCAAAGGTGCCAGGAGGCTTTGAAGAAAGCAACTGCCTGTTTCTCTGTGCTTCCAGCCCACCTTTGCCCCCTAGCCCCCAGCACCACACTGTGTACTCCAGGACTCAAAAAGTGCTGGTTGACTAGAAGGATAAATGCCTTTGAGAAAGGGAAATTTGTACTGTCGAGATTTTCTCCTTTTCTTTTTTTTTTTTTTCCCCTCCAGAGGCCAATGTTGAGATACCCTGGGCATCTGAAGAAATTCTCTTCTAACCCGAAGACAGAAGGCAAGTCCCCAGTGTGGCGAGCTCTGAGCTCTGTGGGGCTGCTCTCCTTCATCTGCACTCCTCATGCTTGTGTCCCCAGTCAGTGATGTCCATGGCCACAGCCACACAGCATCACATGTATAACTCAGTGCCCGGAGCAGCCTCGCCCCTCTGCTCAGTCCCTGGCAGAGGGAGACTGTCGCTGTTGTAGAGCAGCCCTGGGCTCATTGGAGGCCCGTCGGGGAGAAGAGAGTTGAGTGGGCTTTCTGTTCACCAGATCATTGGAAGCAGCAAAAGCAACAGAAGCAGCCGCAGCAGCCGCTGCCGCCGCAGCAGCAACAACAACATCAACAGATGAAGGCGAAGAGACCTACTAAGAAAAAGGTAGAGGGTCTCCCTGGTGGTGTAAGGGTTAAGTTTCAGCACTATCACCCTTGCAGTGAGTTTGATCCCCAGCCCGGGAGGTGACCCACATGGTGCAGCAGACCTCTCTTGTCTCACCCGCTGCCCCCCTCAGCAGTGTATGTCTGTAGATTTTATCTGTTCTGCTCCTCACTCTGTCCCTGGTGAATCCTCTCATGCCTCGCACCTCTGGCCTAGACACCTGTTTTTGTATGCATAAATAAATAAAAGTAAACCTTAAAAAAAGAAAAAAGAAACAGGTAGAGTGGCAATGAGGGGACCCCCAGGGCTTGCTAGAGCTGGGAGAGGCAGAGGTGTGTGCAGCCCAGAATGGGAAGGGTTGGCGAGAGGTGGGATCTTCCTTGTTCTCCGTCTGGAGGTGTTAACTCCTTTCTTTTAGAATTCTTTTGGAAAGTTTTCTTTACTTCCAAAAGTTCTAATTCACTTCATCCTCATATGGATTGCAGGAAGCTAAAAAGAAATCCAAGAGTGACCCAGGGAGCCAGGACGCTTTGCATAAACATTCAGGTGCTGTGGTTCCTGATCCAGCCTTAGTAAGGAGAGTATGGGTTTGGGAGGGACAGAATCCCAGGACTTAGCAGGGGGCAAGGAAAAGCAACCTTTTTCCCCCTTAACCCGTTGGGACCTGCCTTTGTCAAAGGTACTCAGAATTCTCCTTGGAACAGTTCAGTTTGCCTGGTCTATCAAGCAATAGCATCTTTCCATCAAATTTTTACTAAGCAAGTGAGCTTGGCCTGATGTCCATTCCACGTGGGGATTTGGCAGGTGACCACAGGCATGAGCCACAGTCATTTTTCCTCACATCCTACTTTATTATTAAGAGTAAGCCCAGGTTTGGGGCCCTCCCTGGTCGCACAGTGCCTCCCCTTCAGCATGAGTTCTATCCCTGGCCAGGGGGCTGACCCACATGGTGCAGGAGACCTCTCCTGTCTCGCCTGCTGCTCCCCTCAGTCGGCCTGTTCTGCCCCCCACTCTGTCTCTGGTGGATCCTCTCACTGCCCTGCTCCTCTGGCCTATACCCCAGTGCTGTGCATAAATAATTTTTTTTTTTTTTTTTTTTTTAAGAATAAGCCTAGGTTATTGAAGAGAAGACCCTTTGACCAAGGAGGCAGGAAATTGCTGGACTCCTCAGTGGAGCCCCAAAGAGTACTTAAGGTAGCAGAGTCCTGGGCCTGCTACTTCCCTTCCACAAGTTAAGTGTCTGGAGCCCCAGGCCGAAATCAACACACATTTAGATCCTCCTCCCTTCCCTTCACCCTTCTCAGGAGGCAGGCAGCTGAGTGTTCCCTGGAAATCTTTTTCCTCGTGTCCATGCTGGAAATGAGAATGGGTATCTCCCCCTTAAGGAGGCCTTGTCATGCCTGAGCTGAAGGATAATCTTACCCAGGTCCTTCTGGCCTCCTCAGCTTGAGTGCAGCAGGGAGGAGGAACAACGAATTCCCCTAAACCTAAGAAGATTGTTCTGCCCTGCTCAGACTGGAGATTGCTGCTGTATTGAGAAAATAATGGTTTAATCCTCAGGATTCACACTCCAAACCTGGGGCACTGAGAGGGCTCAGTGACATGTTTCCTTAGAAGGATGTTGCTCTCTGGTTTTATTTCCCTTTCCACTGAACTCTGATGCTGGCAGTGTTCTCTAACCTGAAGCTCTAAGAGCACTGCTACTTTCATATGGGAGCTAGAGCCTCCCGGGGTGGAGGTTGGCATCCTTGGGGGTGATGGGCACTCTCCCTGATTCTTCCTGCCTTTTATTCCTCTTCCTGATGCTTCTACTAGCAGCAGTTTTGCTTGGGTGAATGGGGCGTCCCTTTGAGAAAGGCCTCCTAGAAGAGAGGATTTTGCATCGGATCTTGAATATGTGGGAGAGTTTTCCTGCTCTGGAAGAGGATTCCTGAAGAGGACACAGACTGTGCAAAGGCATCTTGGAAGAGCTTGGCTACTCAGAGATCATGGAGCATCCATGTGGCTGTGGGATTGGGCCTTTTTTTTTTTTTAATTATTACAAAAGTTTATTTTTACATCATTTTGTACATTTTTTTTTTCCATCTCGATTGTAATCCCCGCGGGTTTCCCATCACCAAATCACCTGTGTGCCACCACCATATAGTCCCATGCATTTCCCTCCCTTCCCCCCTCCCCCCCGTTTTTGATCCCATTCCCCACTCCATCCCCACAACATGTCTCTGGTATATGGTTGTTCATTATTTTTGTTATTTTCTCGCCTGGTCCATTATACTCCTGCTATGAGTGAAACCATCCGGTATTTTTCTTTCTCTTTCTGGCTTATCTCACTAAGCATGATCTTTTCCAGCTCCATCCAAGTTGCTGCAAAAGACATGTGTTTCTCTTTTTTTGGTTGCTGAGTAATATTCCATTGTATATATGTACCACATCTTTTTTATCCAGTCACCTACTTTTGGGCATTTGGGCTACTTCCATGTTTTTCCAATTGTAAATAAAGCAGCAATAAACATGGGGGTATAAGTATCTTTTTCAATCCTTTTTTTTTTTTAAAGATTCATTTATTTGTGCATACAGAACTGGGGTACAAACCAGAGGTGTAGGGCAGTGAGAGGCTTCACCAGAGACAGAGTGGGGAGCAGAATAGGCAGATTGACAAAGTACACTGCTGAGGGGAGCAGCAGGCAGGTCAGGAGAGGTCTGCTGTGCCATGTGGATCACCTCCAGGGCCGGGGATCGAACGTGCACTGAAGCGGCTTTGGCCAGCTTGCACTGCTGCATGTAATCAGTTGTGCCGCCAAGGAGGGCCTGGGATTGGGCCTTTAAGGGAGAATGATACATCAGGGCCAAGAGGAAGTCCAGGTTTTCTATAGCTGCTGAGGTGTTTGGCCTTTGTCTTCCATGGTGCGCCAGTGGAGGGCTACTGAAAGCAGCCACGTGGCGTTTAAAACACGAATTCTCAGGCTATCCCCAGAACCGAGGAGACCAGAACTTATTAAGTTGAAACCCAGGAGCTGTGGCAACCCAGGCCTCAATGTTTCTTAGAGCTCCCTCGTGCCGCTGGTGTGAGGCAAAGTGAGAACCAGTGCTAGTGAGGGTCACGGAAGTGTTGGTTTTACCTTTTTTTTTTTTTTTTTGCATATTTATTACTATTTTTATTGATGTACATATTACTATTGGCTTTACCTTTTTAAGTGTACTACTTCTGGTGGTAGTTTGGGTAATGTTTAAAGAAAGGAAAATTGAGAATATATGATGAATGAATGTATTTAGGAACCACTTAGGGAAAAGCTGATGCGAAAGGCTCACAAAACTTGAGTTGAGTTTTCTCTTTCTCTCTCTCTTTTTTTTTATTAGTGTTGGGGGAATCTTCAGAAGCCAGTAAGGGCACACTGGAAATGGTACAAGAAGGTAAGAATATTCCTAAGCCGAGAAGGTAGAGTTAAGGATTCTTTTGCCTGCCTTGACTTATCTGTGGTCACTAGGTCATGGAACACTACTACAGTGGGAAGGTGACAAGAAGCAGCAGGAGCAGAAGATAAAAGAGCCCACCCTGAAAGCGGTGAGTGTGTCCAGGGTCATTCTGCTAGCGTCCTGTTTCAGTTCTCCCTTCCTGTATAACGCACCGCCCCAAAGCCTGAAGCTTTCATGCTTTGCTGATTCTCATGATTCTGTGGGCTGGCTGGACAACTTCTCTGGTCTTGCTTGGTGTCTCATGGAGCTGCCTTCACCTGAAGGCTGCACTGGGGCCTGTGGCCTTCCATGAGGCCGTTCCATGTGCTAGTTCGGGTTTCTTGTTAGTGCAGTCATTTCATGCAGGCACGGCACTATTTCATTTTTTTAAAAGATTTTATTTATTTATGCATAATTTTTATGCATAAAGAACTGGGGTACAGGCCAGAGGTGCAGGAGTGGTGAGAGGCTTCACCAGAGACAGAGTAGGGAGCAGAACAGGCAGATTGACAAAGTACACTGCTGAGGGGAGCAGCGGGCGGGTCAGGAGAGGTCTGCCATGCCATGTGGGTCACCTCTGGGGCCTGGGATCGAACGCACACTGAAGCAGCTGTGGCCAGCTTCATGCAGGCGCTTTCTTAAGGGATGGGACCTGAACCTGGAACCAGTGTCACTTCCGCCACATTTATTGGTCTGGAAATCACCAGCCCAGATTCAAGAGAAGATGAAGTTGACTCCACTTCATAGGGAAGGCACAGCATCTGGACACAGGAGTGGGGGACTGTGGCAGTACCTCCTGAGGCATCTCCCCTTAGCCGCCAGCTGGGCATGAGGAGAGGGTCTGGCTTCATCGGGTCAGCCCGGATACAGAGAGTGTTTGATACCGGTTTTCTCTTAGTCTCAGGAGGTGGCTTTTTGTCCTGTCTTAGATCTTACTTTTCCCAAGAAAATAACCTTTTAGAAAAATCCTTTTAGGATTTCCTGAAGTCTTGATTCAAGCTGTTTACACTTTAATGCATTTCAGGGTTCCACAGAGAGACTGAGGAAGAACTACACAGAGATCTGCCTGAACCCCTTCCCCGATGAGGAGAGTAAGTGACTGTGGTGGAGGAAGCTTAGAAAGTGACTTAGGACAGGGCCACTGACTGGTGCTGACAGGATGCTGTGCCTTGCTGAGGGCACAGTCTCCATCCTTCAGGAGGGTTCTGAAGACACTCCAGACCTCCTCTCTCTGTCCTCCATTTGACACAGTGAGGGGTGAGGCGATAGGCACAGTGAAGGCTTGGGTTTTCTTTCAGGTCCTGAGTTACCGGACACAGAACCCATGAAGAGGGGCAGCAGTGCTCAGATGGAGTTTGTGCTGGAAGTCCAAAAGAAGACCCCTGTAGACCTTTCATCTTATACGAAGACAACAAGCTGGAACCCTGAGCTCAAACTGCTAAGGATTCTTCAGGGCTCTGATGAGGGAGAGGAGAACCAAACCTCAGAGGAAGAGAGTGAAGGGACTTTGAGGATACAGGCAAAAGGCGTCACAGAGGGGCAGGCGGAAGGTCTCAAGGAGGGACAGGCAAAAGGTGTCACAGAAGGACAGGCGGAAGTCCTTATGGAAGGGCAGACAGAGGGCCTCAAAGAGAGGCAGGCAGA